TTTCCATTCCCTCTCGCACTCTTCTATCCTTCTCTCCCCACAGGAGCGGGTCCCTGATCTACTCTCGCAGAAGCACCTAGATCAGGGGTCTCCAAACCCCGGCCCGCGGCTGGCCGCGGTTCCTCCACTGAAGCCTGACCCGCAGCCCACTTCCAGCACCACCGCTGCTATCGGCGCAAAAAGTTCGCCTAAAGAAATGACGCTGCCACACGCTCCAAATGCGCAAAGAGACAAGAAAGAACTAACTGGATCGTAACGCGGCTCCTCTCTCCATATTATTCATTGAACATTGTCATCACCAGCATCACCATTGTTGGTCCCCTGCTTCGTGTCTGTTTAACTCTATTAAAATTCCTTTGCATTATTATGTACATTGTGCTTAGTGTCCTAGCTCTGTCATAACTATTGCGTATTGTTGACATTAGTTTTATCATTCTCATTAGTCTTTTTTTGCACTGTGCGAATGTGATAGATTCTCATGCGCTTTGATTTATGCCTGGGGAGTTTTCTTGGCCACAGCTGTCGTGTTATGGCCCCTTAGCCAACAAGTTTGGTGGCCCCTGCAGTGTGATATGCACCGTCGCAGAAAACAAGCAAGGGGAAAGTTTAGGCACAAGCAGTCCTTGGGCTCCAGTGTATATGTGGGTCAATAAAAGCAATAATTTTTTAAGCGCATTTGAGGTGGTACATGTGAGTAGATTGAGTTTACTATTTCATTTAAACACCTGAGACTGGTTGAAGATACGTGAAACAGCCAAAGTAAAAGCAACAAGAGAAGAACATCCAAAGCCCTATTGAAAAATCTCATGAGAAATTTCTTGTAAAAATAAACACATATCAATCATACAAGATATATAAGAGTCATATAAGAACTATATAAGATATGTAAGAATATATAAGAACCGTATAAGAAACTTGCGAGAAGTTTCTTCTATATCTCATATAGTTCGTATATAGTTCTTATATAGTTCTTATATGGTTCTTATATATCTTGTATGATTCATATGTGTTTATTGGACAGAAGAAACTTACACAAATGCCTTTTTCTCTAGGGAGGCGTCTGTTTGAGACGTTGTCGAAAAACACCCTCACTGCTTTACCGTCTTTTATTTGCTCGACCATTCAAAGACACTCATTTGCGTCTCCGCAATTAAAATATTACAGACACTTCGCTCATTGTGGTCCTCAATATTCCACGTAGAGCGTACTATATCTAAGTTCAAGGAAAGTATCTTCAAGTAAAAACATAGTTGCTAAAACAACGGTTGGAAGCGGGTTTCAGTGCAATAAATACCTTCCGAAAATGAAGGACGTTCTCACTTCACCGTAGCACCCTTCTCCACATCCTTATTACATCATTCAAAAATGACGGGTGTTTCAAGCCACATCACCCTATCTTAAGTGTATTCACAGTAATATCAAGGTGCTGAAAAAATGTAGTCAGGGGTGTGAATTTCTGTAACACCTTGTATTACGTCCCTAAGAGTGTCAACTTTTTTGCTGCGTATGGTCATGGGCGTTTGAATTCCAGTCGAGACGGCCGTTTCTGCTATCTTGGTGAACACAGTCTCGGTGCGCCGGTGGCAGCCCTCTCTCTTGGCGCCGCGCGACTGCACGGTACCGAGAGAAGCTCGGCAGAGACGTACGTCTTATTTGGTCGAAACGCCGCGCGACTGCAAAAGTCTTTCGACCGGATGAGACAACTTTGCCGGGTCTTGTCGGTCATGTGGTGGCCACGTCAGAGGACTTCGCGTCTTCTTTTGCCGCAGCCTCCCAAACATATGCATGCATGTCGAAATAAACTTATTATTATTATTTAAAAAAATGAACTGACCCCTTCTTATGACCTAAGGATTTTACCAAATGGCTTCGTGAACCACACGCCTGATGGTATGCTCATCAACTTCAATAGCTTCGCTATGACCCTGATTGACTTGCTGGGGTCATCACTGACGACCTTCTGGACTTGATCGACAAAGTTGGCGCTCATATTGGTACAGTCTAAGATCGTTATAACAGACCTTGATTTTGAACTTTTGGTCTGTAGTAAGAGGAGTATGTTGTATGCAGATACGAAGTTGAGTCAATGGTATACAGAGGAAAACCAACCGAGCTTCACAAATCGGTATGCTATATCCAAATGTCTGTTGTAACCAGGTCTGTTATAATGAGCTTAGACTGTATTAGATCGTTGGGAATGCTTCTTTCATTTGGCCGCTGACGAGATGTACCCTTCTGAGTCAAGCAGTTTTTTTCTGACTTCAAAAACAAATGGATTTTTCACATTCACAAAGATAGCCATCTCTGAGTCGTCGTGTCGGCGGAAAGTGCGATGAACACAGCATGTCTTTTCATCTGCGTGAGACTGGAGGCGGCGATCTTGATAGGAATGCTGGATGATTTGCTATATGCATGCTGTTGAATCGGTGCCATCGAACTATAACCAAACACAGTTGTTTTCTGGGCATCTTTGACGTGCTAAAAGTGTGCGCTTAAATGCCGGCCGCACCAATAGAATGCGGTACAATACCTAGTGAGTGAACATTAATATATAATGTTAATCTCTCCCGATCTTTCAAACAAGTGTCTGCTCTGACTGAATGTAATGCGTCCTGTTAAACCTATCTCTTTCTAGGAAGTAGGGGGGACGTCCACCCGAGGTCTGACAGTGATAAAAACCGCTAACCAACGCTAACTGCTAGACACAGAGAGAAAAGCACACAATTTACCAGCTAAAATCTTCCGTATGCCATCGCAACTTGCAGATACATCGAAACAAGTTTTTCTTTTTTTTTCATACGTAATGCAAAACGTTAGAAAAGTCTGCAACTCACGTACCTCTCCGGGTAGTAGGTGGCAATAAACCTGGACACCATTGAACCCCAATCCCCTCCCTGGAGGTAAAACTTGTCTCTTCCCAAACGGTCCATCAGCTTCACGAATACCCTCGCCGTTTCGAGCAGGTTGAAACCTGCCCAAAGAATAGAATAAAAATTGGTTAACAAAGGTGGAGGTTGACACTTTGTTTAAGTTCGCAACGGCAGTTAAATTAGTCCAACTAACTTGCACCGCATTATTCCACAGAAGGGAAGGGAGAGTCTCCCCAGTGGAAGGGAAAAAAAAATGCAATATTTGGTTTTGCAGTCGACGAAGAGGGAACCCTTATTTTGAAGCTTTTTGCTCTCTCGTGAAACAATCGCACACTTTCTTTGTAATCGCGAGAGAATGGGTTGGAATATTTTATCAGCTCGTCTTAAAGTTCCGCATTCTTCATATATCCGAAGGTTCGTGATTCAAGAATGTATTCGCAACCATTTCTCACGAGACGTATACTTGACGCCTTCGATCGGCGTTCTTTGCACGCACCAATTTGTTTGAGTGTACCCCTCCCATAATCGATTATTGCAATTCTCAGTGGCGTAGCTAGGCCATCAGGCACACAGGATCCCCGAGATCGCAACCAACAAAAGAAGCGTGTGTGTGTGTGTGGGGGGGGGGGTTGCTGTTAAATGTGCTCCCCCCCCCCCCCCCCCCCCGGCTTCGTCGGAAGAACGAGGTGTTGGAAGAACGCGTAAGGGGGGACGACGAGGAGAGGCTTCGAAAAGACGCGGTGGGCTGCAGGAAGGCAAATACTGAACGTAAGTGTCGGCGTCGTTTTTCATAGAATGCAATGTTGCATGTGACAGTTTCATCGATAGGTCGAAATATATACAGCTGCAAACTTTTTTGGTGGAAACGTACGCCCGATAATCATCGATGTCCCTGGAAAAGGCCTTCCGAATTCCAATTGACCCTGGTCATCATGCAGGCTTGGGACCTTAGAGGTCAGGGGGACTTTTCTAGAGTGTAAAGAGTTACGAGATGATGTAATTCATAGACTGATTTGCAGGACCTGTCAGGAATCTTTCTTGACAGTGGTCCGGACATTGCCCGATCTGTGCCAGCTAATGGGTTCTCAGATTGACCATTGCCGAGGTGTCATACAGATACTGGAGCTGAACCTCGAGTTCCACTATACCGTGTACAATGACCAATATTAGCCAATAAAGTGTGAAAAATCTCGTGGAGCGGATGGTTTTTTTTAGAACTCCCGACTTCTGTGTAATAGTGTCACTAACTTCCGTAATTCTAGTTCAAGGTATACCTTGTTTATGAGGTGCTTCCGAGAAACCGTAGCCTGGTATTGATGGGCAAATGACTTCAAAGGCAACGCCGTCTTTGGTCTGCGTCAGCATGGGCACGATCTTGAGGAACTCGACAAAGGAGCCAGGCCAGCCGTGGGTCATCACCAAGGTGAATACCTTTGTCTGCAACATGCAAGAATCGGCTAACAATATCGCACAACTCCACACACAACGAAAGTCTCACGCCTGCACTGTGCTCACCTGCAGTGCTAAAAATTACACACTGCGTTTTAACGAAGGCTTTAAAAAATACCTAAAAATAAGGTGGTTGAGGAAACATTGGTGGGCGTCAGGAATTGCGAGAAACATACCGATTAGCCAGATAATTAACTAAAAGTTATTAGTCAACTTCTTAATTTCTGAAAATCAACGTGATTCCAATTACAAACTTGATAAGCATATGGTTATGTCTATGAGGAAACAGCTCAAACACTGAACACTTACACGCAAACACACAGGAAAGGACACACACAAAGCTGATTATCAACTATTTAATACTTCTTCCTCCACCTTCTCTTCTTTTTAGACCCCTCAAGCATTCCACAAATGCAAGATGCGATGTACTTTAAAAAAATGTTTAAAAGATATAAGGAGTACATATACAAATGTATAAAAATAAATCATACACGAAAAGAAAAAAGAAAAGAAAAAGAAGAAATATACTACATGGACGAGAAGTGAAAGATTCTGCAACTGCCAAAGCAAACCCCATACATTTCCACTTCAAGTCACTGACATCAGTAAACCGTGGATATTGTTTTGAGAACTTCTTCCCATGACTATCCTTGCGAGTCACTGGCCCAAAGCCGCAACACACCGTAGATATTCTTTTCCTTTGCTGTGCAGCGCGTGATGGACGGACTGCTGACACATTCCTCTCCACTCTCTTCGATGGCTGGTGCCTCGAGCATCCCTCGCGCGTGTGGATTTTTAGGCTCACGCTGGTAAAGGCTGGGATACACTCACATGTCCTACAGTGGGCTGACAAATGGCCTGCTGATGTGCAACTTCACTGCCGCTGCACGTTCCCTTGTTCTATCGTTGATACACCGGCCCGTTTGGCCGATGTAACACTTTCAGCAAGATAAAGGAATGCTGTAAACAACACCTGTTTCACACTGGACATATCGTGTCCTGTGAGCAATGCTGCCTGCCTTTTACTGTTTTTTTTTTTTCTTCCGTTATTTACTCGTCGGCACATAGAGTACGCCTTGTCTGGGGCAGAGCATACCACGTCAATGTTTTGTCGCCTTGCAATCTTTTTCAATTTATGAGTGATCCCATTTATGTATGGAATGACCACAATTTTGTTTTGAGTTCTGTCTGCATCAGTTTTGTCTTTGCTTCTTGATGACTTGATGGTTTTGCTAAGCATAATTGAAAACCACTACATCGACTCCTTCTAAAAATACATAACGCAAAAAAAAAAAAAAATTACGGCGTTCCTAAAAAAAAAAAAAAAAAGAAGCTCAATTCTGACAGGTTTTTTCGGTTTCTTATCGGAGCGCATCTTTGCGCGAGCGGTCCTGCTTCCCAGTGGCCGAAACGCACACCATACGTGCACCATTAAAGACTTGTACGGTACTCATTACAACTAATCAAATTACTTTTAATCGATTACTCTTTCGTGTAGTTTGCTAATTACTTGAATACACCTAGTAGAAAGCAATCGCAAGATTTATCTTACTACTTTGGAAGTAGTTCAATTACTCTAATTCAATCATCAAAAACACTCCTTCCAACAAAGGGCGGTACAAAAAGATTTGTTTCAAAACCGGCAGAAAAATCACACGCTTTAAGAATCGGAAGAAATCGGAAAAGTAACGGTTGCATTTTCAAGTATCCACTAATCCCATTTCTTCTCAAGTCGAATATTTTTCTTAACTGAGAGTAATTGTAATTGTAATCAACTACTTTTTTCCAGTAACGTGTACAAGTCCTCTAATTATAAAGTTAATTATTGAATTTCAGTTAATTGTTTAGCTAATTAGTGTGTCTTTTTTGTCTTTTTTTTAATCCTTGACGTCCACTGTGGCTGGCAGTTTCTTCCTAAAGAAAGCTTTCATTCGCATTACATGTCATGTTTTAATCACTTTCATTCCACGCGTGGGTTTGAAATTCCCGCGCGAGGTCATGTAGCTGTGACGTCATGACCCTATCGACCAGTCAGGAATTTCCTGTCCCACCGTCGCCACTAGTGATGGGCCGAACTTTTGCCGAATCGAAAATTCGACACCGAATCTAGGGATTCGGCAAAGCCGAATTTTTGCCGAACTTTTCTAAAGATTCGGCAAAGATTCGGCAAAAATACATTGTTACCAGGCCTAAAAGTTGATATATCGTTTTATCGTGCAAAAAGTTTCTAGAACGCATAATGATGCAGTTATTAGTAAATAAGGTGATATTCTACAAGATTATTGTATCTGTGTCATTTTTGTATGTTTATTGGTAATTTTAAAGTGTCTTTGTGCAGAAGACGTGTGACAACGGGGGTTGGGTAGAAGTGGGTGCAGTCAAAACAATGTCAGGCGAAGTCACGATACGCGAGTTTCGGTTTTGAGGCCTCATCAGCGGAAACCTGCAAGTGTGCGTTATTGAAAAAAAAAAAAGGCAGTAACACTGTGTTTTATATTTCCTCTGTGAGTCACGTTTAGTGCGCAAAAACGAATGCAACGGCTGTTGAGCCTTCACCAGAAGAGATAACAATAATACTGTAAATATGCATGTGCTGCTATTTGAGTCACTTGACGCCAGCTTTGCATGAAAGTGCGCGTTTCATTTTTCGCACTGTCTCGTTTTTTCACTTTTAAAATGCCGGTTTCCTATGTTAGGACACACCGGACGTTTAAGAAGATGGAAAGATTTAGAAATGCAACGAAGCATGAGAGTTTTCGTTTAGTTTTATGCGGAAATATGAAAACCGCGAAATAACGCTAATTGAAAGCAATATTATTTTGTTCTGTCACAAACTACTTGGGAGCCGACAACAGGATTGCTAGAATGGCGAGGAGTGCTTTAAAGCACTTGTCAGTCAATGTTGCAACTACATCGTTGCATTACTGGAAAGATCAAATGAAAATCACGTTATCACAAATGTACCGCATCATTTGTCACTTGCGCAGTGGACTGCGGCATTTTTGCGTCCGTTTCTGGTCAATCTTTTGTTCTTGAGGCAGAGATTATTGAAGAGAACCACACTCACAAAGGCTGACAAACACAGAGTTACCACGTCGCCTACTCCGTACCTCACCGTAACCGCTGGTAGTACTGCACTGTACGATTGTAATCGCACGAACGCACGGCGTCCATTTGCAATCCTTGGCCCCGCCGCGTTCTCGCGCGTGCGCAGATGTTTGCCGAATTTTTGCAGAATCTTTGCCGAACTTCCTTCAAAAGTTCGGCATTTGCCGAACTTTGCCGAATCTGAAGTTTGGCAGATTCGGTCCATCACTAGTCGCCACCGACACCGACGTCGGATTTTCTGCGACACGAGTTCCTAAACAACTCCCTAATAATTTCAACTTCCTTCGTAACTTTTATCTTGCAATGCCAACAGTCAATCATCTTCCTTTTTTTTTTTTTTCCGCATCAAGCTCGCTGTTTAATTTTACAATGGACAGCAACGGATGCTACCAGCCGTCCCAGCTAATCCAGCGCTGCGACAGGATCACGTGACCACGCGCCCCGCGCGTCGCTGGCCAACTCCCAAATGTCACGTGAGTCTCACACACAGGGCATGGGATTGGTCTTGGTAACTCGAAAAGTCTTTGGCGGTGCATCGCAAGGTAAAAAGGACGATATCTTCGTTGCCGTTCGAAAAGAAATAAAACTTGCGTAAACGGGAAGCAAACAAATTCAAAGTTTCGCAAGTAATTCCTCGCAAAAGCTCACCTGGGCGTTGGCGGGCATGGCCCTGGCGTACATGAAGTGCACCTGGATGCCCTCGATGACGGTGCGATAGTGCTCAAACTGGTTCAGCCGCTTCTCCTGCGCCCTCCAATCGAACTTGTCCTTCCAGTAGTCCACCACGGACTTGAGCGCCAGCGCGTTGAAGCCATACGCGAACTTGGAGTCTTGCAAGGGATGTGCCAGCTTGGTTGCTGCGAGGCGCCACTTCAGGTCTGCCAGAGCCTCGTCGGGGATGTGGACGCTGAACTTGCGAATCACGGGGTCATCCTCAGGAGCCGCGCGCACTGCAAAGTAATGCCGATCATTGTCACGCGGAAACTCATGCCTGCAAGACACCCCTTCCTGTCTTCTGCTGAAAGCTCTGGAAACCTTGCACGATGACGGCCACGAAAGAAATGCTGAAAATTCGGTCGAGCCTCATTAAATAAACAAAATGTAAACTAACACTTTTAGACGGCCCAAAAATATCGATTTCTCGACGTATCGCGCCGCAATTTACTACGGAGGTGCAAGCTGGTGGTGGAAAATTACGGTGGAAAAATCAAGAAATAAACGTACCTCGTCCAAAAGAAAAGCATCTTCTGGACAATCTACGCCGCCACTTCGCAGACGAATCACGCGTAGAGAGACGTGCTGCCGACGGATGGCGTAGGCGGCGTCGAAAAAGTAAAGTATAGAGGGTCTTTACGAAAGAACGCCGGCCGTTTCGTGTTGATAGCAGATGATCGGATTGGAAAAGCCAACGGAGCCCTGGATAAAGGGCTCCGACTGGGACTCGTCGGTCTCCTAACCTTTTGAAAAAATAAAGTTATACCACCATGGGCGTACCAACCGGGAAGGGGGGGGGGAGGGGGGAGTGACAAGGGGAGCGCTGCTCCCCCCCCCCCCCCCCCCCCTAGTTCTCAGAGTGTGTGTGTGTGTGGGGGGGGGGGGGGGGCAAGAAATGTATTTTGTCCCCCTGAAACAGCCGCCACTGGGCAGGGTAAAGACTGGCCGGCGGCGCCCAAGGGATACCGAGGCCACCGCCCCCGGCCCTGGGGGGGAGTGGAGGGGGGGGGGGGGGGGGTCTGGTTTGTTCCCCCACTCAAAAACAAGTTGGTATGCCACTGTATACCACCACCATCTCGCAAACAAACCCGAATCGGCCGGACGCGGCGTACGCCATCTGTCGGCAGCACTCTTTCTATGCGCGCATCGTCAGCGAAGTGGCGGCGTAAATTGCCCAAAACAGTTTTTTTTTTTTTTTTCGTTCTTTTAGGTGATTTTATTCCTTGATTTTTTTACTATAAACTTTCACCCCTTGGTTGTACCTCAGTCATAAATGCAACGCGATACGTTAAGAAACCGATTTTTGCGGGCCGTCTAAAAGTGCCTTAAAAGCGTTAGTCTACAGATCAATGATCTCAAACACGCGGCCCGCAAGCCCCCTTTCCCGCCGCCTCGACCGCCACATACGCCATAAATAATAGTTTTATATTGTCGATTCATTTACGCTCGAAAAGGAGCTGTGCTATGTTCACGCATTTTGCACTATTCTGTTGCTGTTTTTGTTGTTTTTAACCAAGTATTGCTTCATCTAAATGTTTGCTTCTCAGCCCTTTTTCTTGTAAATCAACCGGAATGGCAATAGTGCGAGCTCTTTGCTCAAGGAGGCACATCGGCTGCGCGAACTCTTGCTCAGCGGGAGCAGCGGCCAAAGATAAAGCTATGAGCTCGGGCTTCTAGCTGTCAGACAATACCTTTAAAATTTAAGTATTTCATTATAATGCTGCTATATAAATTGCCAGAAAAGCAAAAACTGCCGCATAAAGAAATAATTTTTCTACGCCCGTTAAGCTAGTAAATTGTGCAACAGGGCAAATGTGGTGTGCCTGCTCTCGTTCTGTTGAAGCTGCCAGTACTCTGGTATGGTGGTGTTTTAAATATTTTCATGACATCAGGTGTGGGCCCAAAGTAGTCATATATGCAAACAAAGGCTAAAAAGGGCCAAACGATGAGCTAACAAAAAATAGAAAGCATAAGGTTCCTTGTCTAATCTCTGGGGTGTCGCTGGGACAGTCAATACTTTAGCTTGGCCGAGTTGGTGAATCATGCTAATACTTCACAGTGCACAAAAGACGCTACAAGGTATTTTTGTAGTGTGTTGTCTTTTGTGCGCTGTGAAGTACTAGCATAGGACAGTCAGCTGCTTTGCAACTGAAACACCAATGCTGTTTGTTTTGTTTATTTTTGTCCCAAAATAGCAAAATATTGCCCCTGGCCTTCATTGGCTCTCGCCCTTTCGGGGGTGGGTTATCTGGCCCCCCACACTCGAATAAGTTTGAGATGTTCGATGCTGCTGCCATAGAAGAAAAAGGAGATGGGTGTGTAAGTGCACCTTCAATCACCTTGTTGCGCGCCGAAAAACTATTTCTCCGAGGGGGTCAACATCTTGTAAAATAAAACGTAAAACAAAGGGGAAAAGGGGGGAACGAAGTGAATTATGCAGAAGGAGAGGAAGAGGATGAAGAGGAAGCTTATATATAAAAACAGTTGGTAGTCCAGCGATCGGGTGTCTTTCTTTCTATCTCTACCTTTTCCTTAGTTCAGCTGGTTTTTTTCATAATGAGTAACCAACTAGCTCAGATTACACCAAAAGTTTGAGACCCCTGCTGTAGATTATATAGGGTGTCCCAAGCGGACCTTAAAACGAGTTGGGAAAATCGGAGCCTGCACATAAAAAGATGAGACTTTCACCGAATGTGTACTGAGCAGGTCAGTCGTACCGCGTGAAATTTCAAGACGTAATCCTCTTCCTGTAAAAAAGAAAAAAAAAAAAAAAAAGGGAGTGCGAAAAATTTGTTAAAGTCAAGTTTGGCCGCGTTCGCAGACGACCAAGCGAAGCTATTTACTTGTGGCGCCATCTGCCGATAGGCGCAGCGAACAGACGACGCACTCTGTTGTTTGACCTGCTCAGTGCACATTCGGTGAAAGTTTGAACTCTCTATGCGCGGGCGCCGACTTCTCTGGCTCATTTTGCAGCGGATGGTCCGCAATTGTGACGCCTATACGGTATGCAAGTTCGTCTGCTCTTTGCGCACCTCTGTGCGTTTGGTTCCCCTGACCTCAGCCAATGAAGGAGCGAGCTTGACTTCCTCGTCATCGCGCGTTCTCTACACGTTCTCTATGTTGCCGTTTCAATAGGGAGTTTTCGTAGATCGTTTTCGCCGTCCCGCAACGCCCTCCGCAACCCGCTACGTTACCCGGAACTCTACAGTCAAGGCTATCGGTGCGCAGGCGCAGTAGCAACTTCTTCGTTGAGGAGGGCTTAGCGGAAGGGGAAACACGGTCTACGAAAACTCCTTATTAGCGTTCCCCTCTGCGTTTCGATACGCCAAAGACACATTTTAAAACACTGGCCCGCTTAATACAGTGCGTATTGTGTGGATTTTTTCTGGGCTTTACAGTTTTTTTGTTGTTTTTTAAGCAGAGAAATTTACAGTAATGCTGTCTTTGCACGTGAGGTATACGGCCAGGGAGATATCATATAGGGGGTTAATTGTCACAGTAAGGCAAAAATATACTAAAATGTGTTCATTAACTCTTTAATAAGTGACTTGGTACACGAGGTGCACTTGGTACGCGAGGTGCAAGCAGCAGATGGTGAAAGTTTACAGCGAAAACATTAAGGAATAAATTTACCTTGTTCATTAAACAAGAAAAAAATGTTCTGGACAATTACAGCCGGTGTGCTAAAGTTACAATTCGTGCAATGGGCGCAACCGAGAAAACGCGGGCAATATAAGATACGGAAAATCCGAGCGGGCGCGTCCACCGCGCATCCCACCTGCCATAAATCTTTCTAAAATTTACATATTTAGTCGTTTTCAATGACGGTCAGCAGATTTCTAATTGGTGTTTATTTTTTATTCATTAAAAGGTTAATGACCAAATTTTAGTTAAATATCCGACATATCGTGACGATTGGCCCCCTATATTATGTCCCCCTGGCCGTATAACTCACCTGCAAAGAGTGCATTGAAATAGCTTTCGCGACTTTTATAAGCTAATTATGTAAAAAAAAAAAAAAAAAAAAAAAAAACGTATATTTTTTTCTTTTTTTCTTTTTGGCGTTTGCTGTGTTAAAGCGGAAAAGAGTGGAGGTCTTTGCGGGGGTCTAGGCCAACTTGTCCGAGGGAAACTAGGGCAGTTCGTTGAAAAGGCCATTTGGTCGCCACTTCCTTCAACACTGCATTTCGTATTTCAACACGGATACGTATTAGTATTTCGTCATTTTGCGCACGTTTAGTTTGGCATGCGTACGCTGCGGATTGCGGTATATAGGTGCGCATTTCAGCCAGCGTCCGCTCGCTCCACAAATGTAGACCCTCTTGAACCTAAATATCCTAGAGCTTGAAAGCTTGTAAATGTCCATATTCATCACAATTTTTTTTTTTTTTTTAATAAGTGAGGACAAGGGGGACAAATACGAGATCCGTAGAAGTTTGCCTCCGGGGTTTCACGCTGTTCCGTTGTGGGAGTTTTCTACCGAGCCTAGTCCTTCTTTGAACGGTTGATCGTTCGCTCGAAGCTCTTTGCGCACATTCGTGTGCCTTGGGCGCTGGCAAGCGCTGCTTATAAAGGGAACACAGTAAAACTGAGGGCCACAGTTAGAAGCCAACTTTCTTTCGGCCTTCACCTTCAACCCTCTTTCGGTCTACGACGAGTTGTCTATTCGACAAGTTGGCCTTCGACCGGTTGGCCTTCGATCGGTTGGCCTTCGATCAGTTGGCCTTCGATCAGTTGGCCTTCGATCAGTTGGCCTTCGACCAGTGCTTTCAATCAGTTGGTCTTTGGCGAGTTGGCCATATTCCACTTTATTTGTGGTGTGCGCGAACTTTTGAGGCCTTGGTTTATTCTTCGATTGACATAAAGTAGCCGCCTACGCCTTAGAGAGATCGCCCCACAGGCAGAACAATGTGCCAACTGCACGATCCTCTCGCGAGCAGTGCGTGTTCGCTAGGCATGCATATCACGCGCTTCTTACAAGCTTTGCTAGCAATTGAGTCTCAAACAGGTACGACTGTCTATTCGAACTAGTTCCGCAGTGCAGGGTGCCGTCAAAGTGCGGTCTGTTCCTCACCATGCTTGATCCTGGCCGGTCCCCAGTAGCCGGTCTTGTTCACCTTGAAAGGGTCCGGTGCCTGGTTGAGCAAGCCGACCAGAAGGGCTGTCGCGATGCCTACGACCAGGAAGCAGCCAACGATACGCTTGCACATCTGCGAACATCGACTTCCCTTCAGTGGGGGATCCCACGAAAGTCGGTGCCAGCATGCCAAACATTCGAAATGAAATTACGAAAAACGGAGACAGTGCAACCTTCTCAACAATACACACTCTTGAATGTTTATGCATGAAAACCTGGTTGGAACAAAATGTTCAAATATAACAATTTTTTTTTAGTATTATTGCGAGATAATGAGGGGTTTTAGAAGCGCGCGCGCGGAGCGAAGGTATGCAGGCCAGCTGGTTAAGAATAAACTCTGAGGCAAGGAGATTTTGTGTTGTTTGTCCGTTACTTAACCTTGTCTCAGTGTTTAGATTATAACATTCCCTTCATCGTACTCAACGTTGATCGAACTGAATTGTGACATGAGGATATTTGGAGTTTGCGCTCGTTGAAATCACTATTCTGCACTACACATTCTGTGTTCCTGGGTTTATCAGAATTATCAAGACAAGTATATTTCTTAAATATACTTAGCTTACTGCTCTCTGTAAAATTACCAAAAGTTCACACAAGACAATTTGCTCTTCATCGGTATAACCTTATATATGACTTCCCCAGAGTAAATTGGCAGCAATAAAAATACGCACGTCGAGACTTCACGCACTATCTGGGAGCATGTGTGATGTTTAATCGTGCTCACACGATCGACAATGCGTTTACCATTGTCTCTCTTTACGAGGACATAAGGTGACAGTATTGTAAAAAGTACTCGAGACAGGTATCTACTAGATAGCACAAAGTCCTGTCTGTGAAAGATAAGGTGGACTTCGGTTCTTTTCCTTTTTATTTATTTCGAGTAATTGTTTTTTTGTTTTTTGGTTGAAAACACGAAGCACGCAAAGCATTCCCGCTTTCCGTTGTGTTTCAAACGCTTCCTAGTCATTTTGTTTTACCATTTAAGCTTAGAATATTTAAATGTGAAATCTATATTCACTCCGCACTGCAAAAGTGCGGAGTGAATATAGATTTCAGAGCGCTGCCTATCTTTTCATTTGACACCTCCCTCCTGAAATCAGTATTTAGAAGTATTGGTACTTACTACTTAGGCCTAATTAATCAATTAATTAATTATGTAAACTACAAAATTACTTGCTCTTTTGCAAGACGTTCGCCAACATGCAGTCCATTTCATTCGCGTGAAGCGCTGTTTTCTTTTTCAAGTTTGGTGCGGGTGCTTTAGAAAGGGCTTTGTGTTGTCTGCTCAGCGATCCAGTGTGACACCTCCTTCCTGAAATCAGTATTTAGAAGTATTGGTACTTACTACTTAGGCCTAATTAATCAATTAATTAATTATGTAGACTACAAAAATACTTGCTCTTTTGCAAGACGTTCGCCAACATGCAGTCCATTTCATTCGCGTGAAGCGCTGTTTTCTTTTTCAAATTTGGTGCGGGTGTTTTAGAAAGGGCTTTGTGTTGTCTGCTCAGCGATCCAGTCAAAGGTGATGAACTACGTCGGGAACTCTGGCAGTAAGTCCCGACATGGAAATAGAAATTTAAAATACCTCCGGACAACAACAAAAACTATTCTTTGCATATTTACCCCTCGTTCCAAGCTAATGAAAAAGTATAGGACTCGGGGTTTGTCCAGGATTTTCAGCCTCGGGGTTGGTGTCACACATCTCTGGCAGTGAAACTCTGGCAGTGAAACACATCTCTACACATACACAAACATCACTAACGCCATGTTTGTGTATGTGTAGAAACTTCCGGGGGGTGTAGAAATCAGCGCATGCGAAGCGTAAGTTCGTCTGTTTCTTGCACAGGGGTTGCAATGATGTCAGAACGTCGACCTCTGATTGGCTGATCGAAAAATATAGTGGGTAGACATCAAGGCATCTAACATTGAGGTCTACCGTGTAGAAATCACTGCGGTGACTGATTAATAGCACAGATTGTTAGAATCAACAATAAAACAACGAAGAGAAAACAGAAATGTCAAACTTTAGGCATCTGACGAAAGCTGGCCTTCTGTAAAGTCGTCTCGTTCATTCTTTTTTTTTTTTTCCTTCGTGGATTATCTCCGGGTTTATGCAAGTGGAGGGAAACAATGGAACCGGTCTTGTTCAGTTAATTTGTCTAAAAAGGAAAACTCACAGACGTCCGCAGTTATCACCGGGCCAGGTCTAGATTACAGACAGCACAAAGGGCAACTAAACAGTGTGGTCCGCTGGGAGGCGGAGAGAAGCTCAGCGGAGGAAAGCTCATCGCAAAACCTTCAGATACCAAGAAAAGCTCACCCACGAATGGATCTGTCAGTGAAACTAGCTTGGATGCCATATGTGCATGCGGTTGTGCTGCAGAGAAAATTGTTTTCAACTATACCAACGTCGGGTTGCAAGGAAACATAGAACAAAATCTAACGTGAAGGGGAGAACTCTTTAGCCTATTCACGCCGGAGGTTAAAACTACCATAACCCAGCGTTTCCAAAAAAAAAAAAAAAATAATAATAATAATAAGTCACGCGTTAGCCGAACGGTCATATCTCACCCCAAAATGTAGCATAGTGGTCTGGGCCACCCGGCCCCCTCCCCCCCGAAATCTTCCATTTTGCTGGGACCTCCTCTCCCCCCTCCCTCTTATACAGCATTTCGTCATGGGCGGCGGTGCCCCCCCCCCCCCCCCGAAACAAAATCCTAGCTACGTGCCTGTGTGTACCCACCACTACGGAATACAGCAGTTCCCGTCGGAAACACCATCGCACAAGCTGCGTGCAGTGCTAAAGGTACGGACGCGCCGGCGTAGCACCGTGCTTGGCACAAAAACGCGGCAAAAGAGCACCTTCTGAAGCTGCCCGCTCGAGTCCGTGCCTTTCGCCAATGCTGCATACGGAATGTTAACGTATATATAATCATCGCCGTTGTACATTCAGTGAGGAGGGTTGTCTCCCAGCGCATATATCGCGAAGGCAAGGCAACAACAATCGTACGAAGTAGACGAATAAAAAAAAAAAAAATTCGTGTTCTCTCGACAAACGTGAGGATCCCCGAAGAGACGCCGCCGTCGAGTGGCCCTGTGCGACTGGTTCGTCTTTCACGGCGCCGGCGTCGACGTCGACCGCAACGCGCGGTCGACGTAAAAAGAATGACGGTGGAATGGTTGGAAGCTTGAAGGCTTGGAGTCAACACGATCTCTATGGAGTCAACGCATATGATCAATTATACGTCACGACCACGTGATTTCTCATTTCGCTTTTGAGTTGAGGAGGAAAGCTGACGACGTTTTTTTTATATTGCTAAAGAGGAAGAAGTTGAAAAATCATTTCATGGCCCTTTTAAGATCTCAATGTTGCGACCGGCCGCAATGTACCAACCGTTCAAAACTCGCACGTACAAAAAAAAAAAATGTGTTTGTTTGTTTTGTTTAACGGTTTCGTCGTTTCGTTGCGGTTCCTCCGGCGTAAACGGCGTCAAAGGTGGCGGCCTTTCCCCGTCATCCAGGCAACATTGAGCCACGTCCGGCCACGCATGCGCAGAGCGGTGGAAGCACGCGGAACGCCGAGCGAATGCGATAAATGTCCTTGAATAAAACTTGCCACCTACGGACGTGACTGTCGCGCGCCTCTTGGCGTCCACATTAAATTTTTTTTCTCGACGGCAATACAGCGTATACAGCCAATCGTTCAGCCCGTGACGCAGATGTAGCGCGTACAGCGAGTACAGCGATCCAGCTAGCCAAGACCGCTGGCAGATGTACGGCGGCAGAAGTACGGCGGTAGGACCGGTAGGACCCATGACAGAACCACACGCGGCTTAGTGTCGGGGGAGATCATGCTCAGATCGGCGCTGGGCCAGCCGGGCGGTGCGCGGTCTCGCAACGATGGTTAAGATCCACGTTCCCAAGGGACCGGTTGAGGCGGCCTACGAGTCGCCGGACGCCAAGAGCTCGCAATGCCCCGAGAACCACCCCGACTTCGCGACCATCCGCGTCGTCAGCCGGGTGGTGCTCTTCGTGCTGCACAAGTGCTGGATGACGTGCGGCGTGTCCTTCGTCACCGTCTTCGTCGTCTACTGGTACTGCAGCAGTGTGCTGGCGCTCCTGCTGCTCTTCTTCTCGTTGTCAGGTGAGCGCGACACGGGTCTCGGAAAAAATTCTGGCAAAGCAAGCACTCACCGTGGTCGACCGGGAAACGCTTCTTTCCTCGACGCCGCGGCAGCCGTCAGCAGAGGGCGGGGAGTCTCGGGTGGCTTTCCCTCGGCTGGCGAGAGCGGTGCGTGCGTCCTCGGCGGCCTCGACGACAACCTGTCTTCCTGTTATCGCTTATCGGACGACCGCTGTCCTGTCTGGCGGGCTGGGTAGGCGCGCTCGTATGCGGGTCCTCACGTCCAATCTAGCACGTCCTCCGAGGCCGAAGTTGGGCTTGTTCGGTCCGCGCCACTTTACTCCTACAACGATGCTCCGAATGTCACCCTCTGAGCGCAGCTGTTAAACGTCCGGGGCAGGCGCACAAGAGCACGACACACCACACGCTCACTTCCTGTCGTGGGCTTATGACACGAGCGCAGAATGCCGTCGTGGGTACGGGTGGCGCAGGTCGCAAGTCTTCCAATAATAAACTTTGAATGGCAGCCCGCTTGCAGCTGCAGAGAGTAAGATGCTATGAAGTGTGTCCTAGAATGTTTTGAAGCTCTTGAAAGGTTTGAAGACTTGTTTTAGGCACAGAGATAGTCGTGACCGAAGTATTTAATGCCCACCTTGGCCAGATATCAAAATACAACCTCTCTGGATTGGCCTGTCGACACAGGGCACTGTCACACTTGTCAGGCGTTTTGTTTTGTAGCGCGAGAGCCATACCCGTTAACGTTCGCCATTGGTGCACCATCATTCGTCCGCTCGGTAGCTTGCATGCTAATTCGTTCTCAGGCAAGACATCGAACAAATGCTTCTCAGAGTATGAATCGTTGTTCCAGCATTCTAATCAAACCATCTTTGCTCACTGGTTTATGCATTCTTCAACTCGAAAAGAGGAGCGGTCAAGCTGTCCCCTCGTCTCGAAAATTTCCCTGTCAACTCGGCTCTGCTGCTTGGAGGAGGAATGTCACAAAGCATAAGGAAGCAACTCGCGCTTTGAGAGAAAGTTGGCAGTCGCAGGGTGCATTCGAGCATTGGTCTCTGGCAGTGCTCCTGTTCATTTAGTGAACGGAGCGACAAACTCTCGCACCCCAAAGCACAGACTTAGGGCATCCATTATTTTGTCTGACCATGCAGACAGGGTTTCTCGTAGGGGGCACCTTGGCGTTCTACAGAAAAATTCTAGCTCCCTCCGCTGCACCTTGCAGTCGGGGGGGGGGGGGGGGGGGGGGGGGGGATTGGGCTCCCCATGTCTGCATGCCTGGCAAGTTGCTTGCACTGGCCCACATTTGCGGGCTTTATAGTCGCTTTCCTCGAACATTTCACTTTGTACGCACGAGTGTCTTGTCAGGGTGGCCTTAATTTTCCAAACGAGTGCAGACAACGAAGGAGGTTTCAAAACTGGCAAGGCTGGATTTATCGAGGTTCAGATGGTCCAGATGAACAGGGCCCTTCTCGTGGAGGGGTGCCCCCCGACGGTCAGAAAACGGTGTCGTCACTCGTGGATTGGCCCGTGAAACATAAATCTTATCTTTCTGTTAGTCAGTGATTAACTGTGATGATCAACATTCTCCATTGAATCATTGGGTGTCTATGTGCATAGTTTTTTTCTTTGCAGGGTGTTTTCGCTTGGCTTAACTAAAACGGCACATCGTGGGAAGAGGAGAAATAACCGTCGGCCACCCTTGGTGTGGTCAAAACCTCGATTCATGGCAGGGGTTGTATGTGGTTAGCTGAAATGTGACACTCCCAAAACGTGCAAATGGCGGGAGTAGCTTGGGCAAATGCATCTATTTCATCCCGAAATAGTTATATCTGGTCAGGGAAAGTTAATTAAGGATAAAAGTATTGGCCGGTCATCATAGCACTGTCTTCGATGACAATATGTGGAACCTAATAAGGATCTCCGTTACGAAGAATAAAATAATAGAGTTTTTAAAAGATGCTTGCAAAAACAACAAAATACTCATAACATAAGAAGGAAATGCAGCAGAGTCAATGGAGATCAAATTAAATCTTGAACAAGGATGCCTTTTGTCACCACTACTGTTCACATCGTACCCACAAGGATTAGGGGAAGAGTTAGAGAAGACTGGTCTTGGTTTTGACTTTCATACTACAGCCGAGGCCAAAAAATAGAATGGTCATTACCAGGTGCGATGTATGAGGGCGGTGTACTGCTAATGACCGACAATAGCACATATCTGTGACTATATAATAATAATAAGAATAATAAATTGTTTATTGAGCAAATTTTTTTACATAATTTGATAGAAGGCCCGCATAAGCGCTTCTGTGCAGGACCGTGGTAACCCACCGGAGTGCTCAAAATAATCAAACAATGGCAACAGAAACATTTTGCTCAGAACAGGCTATACATTGTTAGCACAGGCAAAGTGGACAGCAAATGAAGGAACAGTATATGCACACCTAAATATGACGAGTTTTGTTTTGTGTCTTTCAGAGACGGTGAGTCGTACAATTCTTCTGGAAGTTTATTAAAGGAGATTGGAACATGTAATATTGTTTTAAACGCCTTCCATAATTTGTGTGTACCATAGGAATGGAAAAAGTTTCAGAATGTCTCAGGTGTTTTTGTCTGTTGACTCTGTACTTGAAATCGTTAGTATAATATTTCATTAAAACTACATATTCCTTTAATTCCTCAACCTGCAATATCTCTAGAAAGGCCAATTTTTCTCCGTTATCAAGGGTTTCAAATTTGAACCATAGGCAATACTCTCTCAATTCTATATATTAGTCTATTTAATTTTTTCTCCCAGTGGGCAGAACAGGTTCCATACACTGTGATTCCGTAACGCAAGAGGGAGACTCCTAGTGCTTCGTACACTCTTTTCCTACGTGAAGTATTATAGATGTTTCTTCGTTTGTACATATACGCTAAGACCAGTCGTAGGTGTTTTACGAAATTTTCAACATGTGCATTCCATATTAGACTTTCATCAAAAGCTATTAATAAATATTTTGTTTCGGTTACATATACGAGCGAAGAGCAGTCGCAAGCATTATAGTCGGTGGAATGCAGATAGACAGGACGTATAAGGTTCACTCTTTTCTGATGTGTCCGGAAACACATTAAGTTGGTTTTGGTTTTGTGTACAAATATAGTATTCCAGGAGAACCGGTCTACCAATTTGTTTTGTATCACTTTGAAAAATAGAAACTACATCTTCGTAATTTTATGTGCCAATTCCTTATTCTTATATTAGGCTTATAGGCTTATTCCTGTGAATTTTAAGTTTGATGAAAAAGGGCAGTGTTTTGCTCCTGGTTGTGAGATTAGGGAAATTGTCTTGCGCATGTTCGAACTGGGCTTTGGTATCTCCTGTTTACGATCTGTAAATATGAACCATAAATTGTGAAGGATTGCTCTTTTATCATATTGGTCTTCTTTTGTTCCTGTTTCTTGCACTCTGTTTTGTGATAAAATTAGCAAACACCTATGGCACAGAGCGACACAGATTGGGTCTAGAGTTGAACAGCAAAAAATCAACATGCACAATTTTTAATGATCATGAGAGTAAAGAGCTCAACAAACAATAATTTGTGATCAAGGGAGTCAACAGAAAGAATGATCTATAGGGGTATGGATTCTGGAAAGACAGAATACCTCAGTGAACATGAAACATGGTATGCAACTGGTAAGGGCAAAAGAAATTCAGCTGCTATAAAGAATAGAGCATAGTCAAACTACGGCAGGCATGAAGTGTTGAGGGAGATTTGGAAGGGAGTTGTGGTGCCGAGCAGTGCTGGGAAGTACTTCAGGTACATTATACTTCAAATACCACTTCAGCGAGGTTTAGAATACTTGTACTTTACCTGAAGTACATTCTCCGAGTATGTACCCTCAAGAAGTCCTAAAGCTTTTTTTTTTTTTTTCACTTTTCGAGGAAAGTACAACTCCCGACCTTAAAGTACATTCCTCAAATTTGGTTAAGCTTGTATTACAAAATGATGATTTGTCAACTCTGAAGCCACTTGACTTTATTCAATATTCGCCTCCATTTCCGAAAGTAACCAATGCGCATCTATTACCGCTGGGGCATTGCATACCAGTTAAAAAAAAAGTGTATATGGCGGGCAAGTGTTCTAATACGTCTTCGCCACATCGGAGCGCAAGAAGAGGCACATCAATCAAAGGGCAGCGTAGAGAACCCGCAAGGAACACGCGGCGACAAGTCAGCCAAGTGCGCCCTGTCATTGGTTGAGGTCGAGGAAAAACAAAATCACATGGGCACATCTTGAGAGTCATGAGGTGCTCAAGGAGCAGACGAACTTGGGCATCGTGAAAGATCGTGTTAAAAAATGAAGGACTTTTACAAATCTCTGTAATGCGAAATTAGAGCGCAGCTCTTGAGAAGGGGGAGGGAAGGGTATACCCTCCTCCTCCTCCTGCTCTACCCTCCTCCTACCCTCCTCCTCCTCCTCCATACCCTCCCCTCCTCCCACGGTTTTCTTGCTAAATTTAGCTGGAAAATTGACGCCATGTGACCGTAACACCAATTTAGTTTCCCCGCTAAATATAGCGGGGAAAAAGACGTCACGTCACCCATGAATAAATTCAGTTTCTCCACTAGAATTTAGCGGGAAAATTGACGTCACGTGACCACAACACCAATTCACTTTCCCGCTAAATTAAGTGGGGCGGTTACGCCGACGATGATGCCGCAAAACGGGGAAACGGGTGGCTAAGAGCTGCGCTCTAAAAGTACTTGTACTTCACCTTGAAAGTACATTATATTTTAGTACTTTACTTCAATTACATTGCACCCAATATACTTACCACTTTACTTGAAGTTCATAACCCCTAATTTACTTTGCACAAATTTGCTTCAAGTACTTTTTAGATGCACTTTACCCAACACTGGTGCCGAGTTGGTCTTTCCGAATTGCAGTTCTGTGTCTGACACCAGATGTCCAAGCAAGGTTAAGACAGGTTTACGCTTTTGATGTTTGAGAGTCGACCTGACTGCGTCGTGCCCGCTTGTAACCGCTTATGGTGACAACACACCGGCAGGGAAGTGCTCCAGGTACCCCTAGAACACTTCCATGCTGGTATATTTTCCAGTTTTTTTATGCGTCATCTTTTCACCTAGACTCCAAATAATTCTGACAATGTTATAAGCGACCATTTCTTATTTGTGACTCCAGCGATCTACGGCCTTATACTTAGGGTTCTTCGTTTTCGAGGAAAACCCGATATTACCCGATTTTTGCACCTTGAACAGTTTTTATGAAAATTGGATTAAACCCGATCTCTCCCCAAATGCCAGTCTTGAAATTAGCTGAATTTATGAAAAAATAAGAACAATTCCGTATCCGTTTCAAAACTGCTTCCTC